TGTATTTATATACATATATATGTATTTATATATATTCATATATATTTATATACATATATATGTATTTATATATATACATATATTTATCTATATTTATTTATAGTAGATATAAATATATATGTATATAAATTACATATATATGTATTTATATATATATATGCATATATATTTATCTATATATATTTATAGATATAAATATATATATATATATGTATATAAATTAAAACTCTGATGAACCAGATTCTACAAAAACATTAGATTTAATTTTTTATAGGTTTTCATCATCATTTGATGTATTTGCACTCATTGTGTCTACTTTTAATGTTCATTTTTAAATGTGTGGTTTTCTTTCTTGTTCACATATATACATTTTATTTTTAGCTTTGCTTTAAAGTTCTTGTTTTGTGATTTGTACATTTGTGAGTTAAAATAAAGTTGAACTGAAGGTCGTCTCTTCTTTAAACATGTTTGAGGGAAATATTCCTGAGATCCAATAGTTTTGTCTTTTTATGATTTTCAGTTGAGTTAACAGTCATTAAAGTGAAAACAGGATTTCACGATGAAGCTGGCACCGTCTTTTTTTTATTTATTTTAATCTTCAACGCTCTGCTGGTCTCACTGATCCTTTCCTCCGGAGAGGAGGAGGCTGGGAGACTCATCCTCCCAGCTCCAGCTCAGCTGGTGACTCACAGAGGCTGTTCCAAGACCCCTGCCGCGCGTAATCATGAAGGTCCGACCCGCGCAGACAGGCGGACAGAGACGGGTCTGCGACGAACGGTGGAAGCGATTTTAAAAAACATTTTACGTGTAAAAAAATAGTAATCATTTTTAAATCGCTTCAGCAATTTTTTTTAAACATTTTTTGTATAAAAACAAAATATTATTTTATTTAAAAATCGCTTCCACCGTCCGTCCCAGACTGTCCAGTCCGCCTGACTGCCGGGTGGGATCGGGATTCAGCCTTCATGATTACGCGCGGCCGGGGTCTAGCAACGGCCATCTGTGAGTCCCCATCTCCAGCTTTGCAGTGACCAGCGGAGCTCTGAGCACACAAGGCTGGTATCCGGAACCCGAGCCTCCGAGTCAGCACATCGATGGATCTTCCGCGGTGACCAGCTGAACTTGGAGCCGGGGAGATGACGCTCTGCCCGGTCTGGCGCTCGGAGGCTCCGGACGGAGGATCGGGGTACACCAGCAGAGCTCCATCCAGCTTGCTCTAAATTATGTTGTCGGCCACCAAGCACAAAAAATGCCAGCACATCAACATTAGACCAAGATTTTGTCAGTATTGTTTTTAAAATCTTTAAAATAAGTCCAGCCGCTGCTCCAGTCCGAGAAATTGCAAATGGCGGATTATTATTTTGAAACGTTTCTGAAGGATCCAGTGACTCCGCCCCCGACTCCGCCCCCGACCAATCAGTGACCGACAGTGTTCTGACGTCACGTTTTTGTACCTCTTCGTACCGGTTAGAACCACAGAGCCAAGGGTACTGAAAATAGTAACAGGTGCTAAGTACCGGTACTAATGGAAAAGCCTCAGAACCGGGCCAAGTAGGGTCGAGTCGGCCCATACCGGTACTAATGGAAAAGGGGCAAAAGTTGAATTTTGTTACATTTGCAAATTATACTAATTAATTTTATTCAGGAAATTACATGACAGAATTAGTATCAACTGTAGAAAGGGAACTGATGATATTGATGATACGTCGGTGTTGAAATTGTGTTGCTGTATCACTTAATGGCGACATCTGCTGGATTTAAAAAGTCATTGCAGGCAAATCCAAAAACGTTCAAGACAAAAACAACTGGACTTTACTTGTAACAGAAGACGTTTCGCTCCTCATCCAAGGAGCTAACTCTGCGGATGAGGAGCGAAACATCT